CATGAAATTTGAGGTAAAAATATTGCTCCTGCAAGGCACTGGAGGGAAAAATCTAACTGCGCCTGCGTTACAGGCAATGCAATAAGTGAATGATGTTGTGTAACAACAGCAAAAGCTGAAGGATGCACTGTTTATTTTAATTGTAGGAGGAAGTCAGAGTAAGAGAAGATGATGGAGCAAGTACAGGCTGATGTGTAGGCAGCATCACCGGAGAGAGCAGAACCTGAGTAAGTTCCTTCCCAGCATCAGGTTATTCAAAGATGAGCTGGATTGAGAATCTAAACTGTACATTGTATTCCTGCATATTTACTTCTCTTCTCTTTTTTTGTTAAATCTTAATTCCAGCCTTCCCAGTTTTTTCAAAATCCTCCAGGAGGTTTGTGGAAGATATATAGCAGCATTGGGGAAGGTTGAGCCCAGTTCAGCCACTTTGATTTCACGAGGGACTTAATGCCTTTGTAGAATTTTGGAGAATATACCATACTGGGAAGGATTTTTTAGGATTTGAGATGATTCATAGGAGCTACTGTCTTTCTATGCTGTCCTTTTGTCTTGCTACTTGAATGATCTTTTATACTTGTTTTGTCTTGACTCCAGTAGCTTGGATGAGTTCAGCCACATAGAGAATGATGAAGATGACTCTGACGTTAGCCGTAGCACAGACAGTGAAATTAGGTACGTGTACCTTGGCCAGAGACTATGTGTAAAAAGGTTCTGGATAACAGAAAATAGTAACAATTCGATACAAAAACTTAGTATTGTGTGCTCCAGTTTCAAAATTTGACAATATAATGGAAGTGTCCACTCAGAAAAGATATTGAACCTTTTTTATATCTGTGGGTAATTTCTTTGTTATCAGAGGAGCGGAGAAGGAAAAAGTCCAAATATTCCAAAGAAACAAAAAGAGAAAAGAAAAAGTGGAAGAAATTTATTCCTTGTTTCAATTTTTGGTTTTTTGTAGCGAAGTCACCTGTCTCGTGTTTTCGCAATTGAAGTCAATTTGAGTCAGTGATGACATTTGCTGTTTAAATCCCCATTTCGTTCGTCTAAAGAAGCAAGCACAGAAGAAATTCAAGTTCCAGTGAGGACTCCGGTGACAGCGACCCTGACAGTGATGAGGAACAAGGACAGTGGATGAAGAAACCAGCAGGTAGAAAAGCTGTCACATTGCAGTCATGTTTGCCATCTGCTTAGAAATCAATTTATGCTGGTACATTTGGCCGTGGCACTTCTGAATTTAACCCTAAAAGAGCTGCATTACTTTTACCAGCTCACAGCTGAAAGGGGGGAATTTCACAACTGGGCTGTCCAATGCCAGATGTCTTAAAAACTTGATCTGATGTACAGATTTTCTTTTCCAATACAAGTTTGAAGCTTCAATTGAACTTGTTTTATTTTTTGACAATCATTTGGAAGTTGAAGGCTGCACATGTGCCAGCCTTCGTACATTGAGCATGGCAGCAGAAAAGTGTACATTTTGGGTTGATCTCTCTGGGAAAAATGGACGCTGCTTGAGAGCGTTATGTTTGATTTTCACAAAAATTTATCAGAATGGACCGTGGGGAGTTACTTTAAAAAAAACCCAAAGGCTTGTAAAAAATGTGCACTGCTGTGATACTGGAAAAAATGTTGAAGGGGGATGTGGATTCCCCGGCTCTCTTAGGGTTTAATTTCAGATGGGCTTCAAGAAATCCTCACTTACTTCAAACAGGAAGCAGTCCCTGGGTATATTCTTTTGTTTGTACATTTGGCAACTGACCTTGTTCAAATCATCTGGCTTAGGCTGACATTAGTACATAAGTCTATGACAGATGGCTGAAGCCGCTTCATTCAGGCTTACCTCAGCCATACTTTGGGACATTGCCTTAAAACCTCTTTTGGGGGCATGTTCAAAACTTAGTCCCCCAGAACAGAGGGATAAATAATGCCATCTTCTCTTTTATTTCTACCGGGTGTTAAAGGCAACAGCAGCGTAGTTGGTCCCCTGGATGTGGGCTCATCTTCTGGCATCACTGCCCTGATAGAGTAAGGTGATAGCAGCATGGTTGGTCCCCTGCCTGTGGGCTCATGTTCTGGCATCACTGCCCTGATAGAGTAAGGCGATAGCAGCGTGGTTGGTCCCCTGCCTGTGGACTCGTCTTCTGGCATCACTGCCTTGATAGAGTAGGCCATTTCTTTTGTTTCTTTCCTCATAGAATTAGAAGAATAGTAATCCTGATTTTAGTTCTCCCAACAGTTTTCCTATCACCCATCGGCCTCTGTACCAATCATAACCCACTCACTGCCGAGCACCGATGGTTTCTTGATTCAACAGTGACACAATATAATCTGAAACAAAAAAATACAGTTACAAAGGCAGACTGGGGCAGGGGGCAA